GATTGAGTGAGTTCAGTAAATTGAATCGGTGACTTATGCAAAACTCTGTCCTTCGGATGAGAAAGCCTGCGAATCCCTTACTTTGGCAAACCTTGGTCCTTTGGGTAGAACTCTTCTGACCTCCTCCACAACAGCCAGTGGCGATATTAATTTGATGTGATTTTTATTAGTTTTATTCAGTTTATCCCATTGGAAACGGTAATTATAACCGTCATTTATCTCCTTTCTTTTCACAAAAAGCAAAAGAGATCCCATAGTTTTCGATAGTATTTACGTATGCAAATACTTCAAGAGATCATTTGTAGCTGCTATTTGGCATGATATTGANTGAGAAGCCTGCGAATCCCTTACTTTGGCAAACCTTGGTCCTTTGGGTAGAACTCTTCTGACCTCCTCCACAACAGCCAGTGGCGATATTAATTTGATGTGATTTGGATTAGTTTTATTTATTCAATTTATCTCATTGGAAACGGTAATTATAACCGTCATTTATCTCCTTTCTTTTCACAAAAAGCAAAAGAGATCCCATAGTTTTCGATAGTATTCACGTGTGCAAATGCTTCAAGAGATCATTTGTAGCTGCTCTTTGGCATGATATTGAAACTACCATTACTTGTTTTGAAAAACGAAAGCTCATCAGTAGCGCTAACTCATAAATAAGGACAATATTTTCCAATACTTCAGTTTAAACTAGTCTATTTTCATATATTCCACGGTTGCTAAGTCATAGTCTTAGTGATGGGAAGTATTCCTTGCTGGCTGTATGGTTTTCGATTCGTGCCAATCCAGTCTTAAAATAGATGTATGACGTAGAATGGAAGTGTATTTTCAAAGAATTATGTCTGATTAGTTAAAGTAGGGTTATTTTGGTAAGTTTTTCATTTTTCACTTTACCAATCTCGCTATTGAAACTCTCCAAATGTCCCTTCCCTTTACGAAAGCGCTGCTGCGGGGACATTGTTAGTACCTAAGTAACATTTCAATCAGTGAACTTCGGAGGGAACTGAGTAGATATGCTTGTAATCCAGGGCATCAGCAGTGGGCTCTTGAACGTTGAAGTTCTAGAATCATACTCTGCTGTTCTCATGTAACCCCCACACACTATCACTGTTCTCTTGCTAACTTACTCCTTTCATCCCTCTCCCATGCCTGAGCTCCTTCTGGACCGAATTCCAGTAGTGTCCCTATACATATGTATCACAAGATTGACGATTGGGCAAAACTTCAGCCTCAGACGGGACTCGAACGCGGACTTTTGCTGCCCCGGCACCGTGCTGTTATCCTTTACTGCTTATGCTCTGTATGTATCTATGTCTGGTTTTCCGTGTTCCTCTTTTTTTACACCTTCAATACACTTCCCTGCCTTCATTGTTCTTCCCTCTCCCACCATAAACTCCTTTTTTGGTCCTTTCCCTTCCTTGATTTCATCCTCTTTTACTCATCCTTATCAAGAAATGGTAGAGAATTGGCTCTGTG